AACTTCCCCAAATCCGGGAATCTCCCACCACTGTACACTTACGACTTAGTATAAACAACAGATAACCTATTCAGACTTCAAGATGCCATCTTGAACTAAGTCAGGAAAATTTCCATGACGTATACACACTTTAGTTATGGCCTTGTATGTTTGCCAAATTAAGGGAGGTCCTAAATTGAATAAAGTAAAAGAAGTGTTACTTTTTCATATTTGAACTACAGTAACCTTAAAATGGAGACACCTAAGGTATAAATAGGTGCACTTTTAAATGTTAAGACACAGAGGAGAGACTTGGAGACAGACGCTGCTCCATCTTAAAATGATAGAGAGGCTGACATGATGACATGTTCAGAAGGGTATGTTAACCTATTAATGATATTTGCAAGCATGTAATTTAATCTTATAAACTCTGCTATAATGGATTTTATATTTTTATATAATAAATATCCAAAAAGACAATCTTGCTTCCAAGACAATCCTTATTTTATATTGTATTCTCAATTATTTATATATGTTAAATAGAGAATCTCTTACACTATATAAAATTATGGCTAAGATATCTGTATGGTTAGCCCTACTAAGTTCTATGCTTTAAGACATTATAGTGGTAAATAAGGGAACCACACACGGTTACAATTGGCGACCACGAAGGGACTTTGTACTTGGAAGCTTTAAATATAAAATAAATACCTAGGTAACCTCTTATACGTAAGAGAAGACACAGTACTTTGTCATGGCACAAGTCTTGAAATATCAAGAATCTATTGAGCTATTTGTAGCCCAGACTCAGAGAGAGATCTTCATCATTAGAGATGATTTTAATGTGAACAAGGCACTGTGAGTTCAGGTGCAAGGTACAACGTAATTAGCATACAATGCTGAAATTGTGGATCTTAACTAATATCATAATAGAACATATTTGGTAAACTCCCTGATATGCCTAATACACCAGCACAGCATGGCCCATTAGTTCCAGGACAGTGGATTGCAGACAGGGGGATATGTTCTCTTTGTAGCTGCTTAGTATGCATGCGCAGGAAAAAGATTAATGCAAAATGTTGTCAAAAGAAAAGTGATAAGACAGAGCGATGAAATTTGAAGTCTAATTCCAAGAATGCAAAGAAAATTGCATTGTGACTTAATGAAAACATTCATGCAACAGACAGACAGGATTTTTAATTATTGCATTACTGCGTTCTGGATTCTAATGTCCACTATATAAGAAAAGTTTTATAAAACAGTGATATTTTCCATATTGTCAGTTACGCTAGCTGTTGATTAAAAATCAGGAATTATAACAGCATAATTATTTTTGAAGTCAGGAATTTCCAGCCAAGGTTGCAGAGATACAGAGACATGTAAACATTGCTTCCATTCAGAGGAATTGAGAAGTCGTTTTATATTCCAAATTATGAACAACAATATTACATACAGCCATAAAGAGAAAGACATGGCTTTTAAATAAACTCAGTGCAGTACAATGCAGTACACTGCAGCATGTATTTTATATAATATATGCTAACTAGCTCATATTTTTTCCTAAACAGAGTTGAAAATATACTACCCTGATAGAAAAAAGGACAACAGGTGGTTATACATCCTTTGCTTCTCTAAATGCTCTGCAAAAATAAATATTTATAAAATAATTAAAAATAATATATACGTAAGATAAATCAGGGCAAAATAAAATTGTAACTATATAGGATCTCTAATAACTTTTAAACTGAAATTATTAAAGACTTATTTAAATAAAATGTTAAATACATTTACAGCTTTAAATGTGACCAAAAGATATTAAATGAGGTGTTAAGCAGCCAGCCCAATTCACTAGAATAGCATAAGTATTCTACTATTTAAAGTGCACAATTCCTGCACATAATGACTTTGCTTACTTAGGTACAGTCTTTAGTCTATTGCAATGGCAGTAAAGTCCACCAATTATAAAAGGGAAAGCTTACTTAAATCAGTGGTACTGTCCCACCGTACTAGCAGTAAAGAAATTAGAACAATTATATTGTACTACTGACTGTAATCAGATCAGACACATGTAGTCTCAGTGAATTTCATAAAAATAAGATTAAATATCAAAGTTGTTTATATATAAACATATCAATGTTGTTTATAAATAAAAGTATATAGACTAGGCAATAACAGCATTTACATGCATTCAGCAGCCTGCTCTCTCAGAGCCAGAACTGGATTTATAAAAAAAAAAAGGTTTTAAAAAGTCCACAGTCAACCGCACGTGAAATAAGGGTGAAATAATTGCTTATTTAAAAGCTATATGTTGCCGCAATTATGTATATAAATACTGATTAGGGCACAGAGTAGAACTAAAAATACAGTTTTAAATCCCATATATGGGGATTCAGTTCCACCACATATTCTACAATTCTGAAAGAGGCTAATTTTAATAATATGTTGTAAGAGCATATATGTGAATATATATACTGCAAAATTAATGTGATATTGCAAAGCCTGCAATATTCCAAAAGACAAAAAAAATAAAAAAGAATAATGCATAAAGAATAATGCATTAAAAAAGCAGTGTCAATTAAAGTGATAATACTCTGATATATTAAATCACATTGCAAATCACATATCTGCTATATGAAAAGTATAATTAAAGTGACATTACTGTCCAAAGCCCCCTCACATCTATTTTATAGAATCTATACTTTTTTGTGGTCACCTCCAAAGAAGCCTCTGAAATTGGGGGGCTCAGAGGGGTGCTCATCCCAAAAGAAATCAGATTCCAGACTTAAATTTTTTTTTAAATAAATAAATGATAGAAAAGGAATCACAGGAACACCCAGGACATGCATTTTTGTATATAATCTTAATTTGCAGATATTTTATGCCTTAAAGACATATAAAGGATATTTAATTAAATATGCAGGTATCTTTAAAAATTAAGCAAAGTTAAAAAATAAATCAATAAAATAAATAATAATAATAAAAAATTTATTTTACACCACAATATAAACAGCTTTGTTAAACAGATTTAAGTACAAGTACTTATGTCAAGAAATATACAGAATACGTTTACAACAGGCAGGTTTAGCATAAATGGAAAGTTGTTGTTTTTGGGGATTTATCATTGCCCAAGAAATCTCCGAACATATTCAAAATTTTTGAGAGCAGCATGTAAGATAGCAGATTGCAATGGACTCCATTACAATATTGCTTTGCCGATTGATGTCAGAGCTTTAAAGAATAAATAAATGTTCTATAGCTCGCTAGATCATTGACTTTTAATGAACAGTTTGCACAACACTTATGAATAGTTTGTAATACTGCACATTATAGCTCTGACAACATGATATACATGGTAACAATGCTATGTCACTGTGTAATAGACTTACCCAGTATTTAAGGACGACATGTTTCTTGCAAAGTCATCGGGACTTTGAGGGAGGTTCTAACTACGTTTAATTAATTAATTAACTTACTAAAGAAAAAGAAAAAAGAAGAGGTTTTGTTTTTCCCCTGCAAGTGAGTTTTCAGCGCAAGGTCATCTTGTGTTCACAGACTATTCGGATTTTAAAAAAGCTGTTCTTTATCTCACATTATGAACGGCCTTGTAATTCCTATCCACACTAAAAGTTGGCTTTTAAATGTTATTGTTTTAACTTTAATATTTCATAGTTAATACAGAGGATAAAGTAATATAAAGAAAGTATATTAATTGATAGGATTTCATTTATCTATTTTGGTCCACTGTTCACTGATCTCGAATCTCAGTCTGGTGTTCAAACAGTTTTTCTTACGATATGTCGTGAGTTTATATCCACAATTGCATTTTGCTTTGTGGTAACAAATTGAAAGCCTGGCATTGTAATATGTGTATGGACATGCTTATAACAAAGCATGGTCCCTCTCCTCATGTAGTTGGTCATTAACAGGCACTTTGATGCAATGTGTCTACCAACGCTTTTCTGTGGTCACTGGATCACATCTCATACCCTATCTCTCAGTCATGATGCAGAGTTTATGCTTGCAAGGATATCCAGACCTTATCCACCTGGTATCCGCATAAATACTCCTATCGTTTACAGGGGTTAATTACATAACCATTGAAGGTAATATGTTGGTTGTTCTTCCTATAGAGGAAAGATGGACTTGCCCTAAAAGCTTTTTCATGGCTAGGACAAGCTCTCATAGAGAGAGGTAATGTACTTCTGACTCCTGAAAAGGAATACTGATGGTCACAATATGGGAAATACTGTAATTCATGTGTTTAGTAATCATAAGCATTTGCTTATTGCCACATTACTGATGTACTATTTATTGAAAAATTAATATCTAACATACTTTTTGAATTACTATATATTGAAAGTTTGCCAACATCTCATGGTTATAAATATGTTTTTGTATATGTTAATGCATGTACCAGGTTTACTTGGATATATCCTGTGCGAAGTGCAACCTCTGATGCCACGTTTTCTAGTCTCACTTCCTTAGTATGCATTTGATAATCCCAGGACCATCTATTTGGATGGTGGTCCTGCAGTTACTGCAAAGGAAACCTAAAACTGGGCAACCACATTTGGGTTACTTTGGGATTTCAGTGCCCCAACCACCCCCAAAGTAGTGGGGTTGTGGTCTGGGAGAATGCTGAGGTTAAATGATTATTAACCAAGTTACTAGTTGCTTGCCCCACACAGTGGTATCTATTTATTCCTATGGTACAGATAAGCATTCACAACATACCTGATGATACAAGTGGTGAGACACCATATGAAATGTTACATGTTTTTTCACTGACAATCATATTTCTGCACCAGGGAGAGCTTAGAACCATTGGTTCTATTAGAGAAATTCAGGGAATTATTTTTTCCAGCCCACCTCGCCTTGCACCACCAACTTTTTCTTACTGTTGGCTAGTTTGTCCTGGAGAGGGTGACTCAGAGAACTTTTACTACAGAGAACAATCAGAGCCAACAGAGAACAGTAAGTTTTGATATTTTACAACCTGCTAAATACTAACAGGACATTCACAGAACCACTGACTGACACAATGGATGCTGTTAAAGATGGCAAGATAAAACAAACAGAGGACGACAGAAAAGCCACCAGAATCATAGCCATGTAACAGACTGAATCATGATCTGACATCTGAACCTGCAAATGTGAAGGAGAAGGATAAACAGACAGACGTGATACATTCACAGTTAACATGGAATGAATGAAAAATGAATCATCAACATCATTATAAGAAAGACTCTGGAGAAAACAGACTGAACCTGAATTATCTTGTACAGTAAGAAAGAAATGCAAAGATGGAAGCAAAAGGATGCTAGAAAATTGGTGTCTCCTTCTTACAGTCTGCAGCATTATCATAACATCAACTCTAGCTGTCGTTTTAAAACCGCATTGGGATTACGTTAACAAGCAGGAAGCAACTGAACTGAATTGGACTGCACACTATACAAGTTCTGTGATCGTGAGGACTACCTCCAAGAACTATCTCATAAGGAGAGACCCAGCTCACAGTGAAATGATTGACTACACTGGTATTTCACAAGGAACCTATTGAGATCATTCCAAAAACCGATTATACATGAGAAAGATGTGATTGGACTAATACAAATCCTAATAATGGACTCAACAATGATGACAAAGCATGCTGAAAACAGAAAAAGATGGGACAGATGTTTGTGAAAGACTTTGGATGCACCTATGAAGGTGATGCAAGAAAAGACTTTGCCATATAGTTTATCATTGAGTGACTACCGCAAACAGCCTTCTTATGCTGAAAAGAAGTGCTATGCTAATTCTGGACATTGCAATTATGTATCCAGACAGAAGATGACCGGAAAAAGAAATAAAGGCTGATAACTGTCAACACCCAGCTGTTTTTCAAGATGGAACATGGTACTGAGAAAACCTGATAGACTATCAAAGCACCTCACAGTACAACACAAATTGTTGCCTACAACTCAGAAAAAGTGGTTTATAGGAAGGAGCAGAAGAAGAGGAGAATAGATTTCCTACTGGAGTGAAAAAACCATCCTGGAACAATATTCTGTAACATTGAACTTTACAATGACATTTGGTGGCATATGAATTTGAATTCGGAAGAAACACATCAATTAACGAAAGAAACCTTGATGCAATTAATAAATAATAACAATACCGGCCTACTAAGAGCAGATGCCCTGACAAGAGAATGGAATATAAAAAGACCAGCAAAACCTGTCAGAAACCTGACATCACGGGACACTTGTACTAAAGCACAATTTGCAGCCTTTCTTAAACTCTACAAATTATGTACATACCTGCAAAGCAAGGAACTCCTGTAAACATAAACACAGAGACATTGATACAACAAGGAATCTGTAATGGTTCTGTTGCAGATGTGATCTACCGTCGTACTCCTTGCTCTTTTGGTATAACTATACCAATCAAAATGTTAAACGGCTCCATAGAATCAAACGACAAAGGATTCTTGCTATATTCTGGACTTCCAGGAATGTGGTGCATGGACCGAAAATTATAATTACTAAAGCAATCATGCTATTTTTTCCCTGTATCAGAAATGTGTCAGTGACAATGTGTAATATAATAGAGATACTATAATTAATGGTATAAGACACACATAATGTGTTAATTACAAAGGTGGATAGACTTTGTGAATATCTGAAACGCAATTGAAGATTATTGCTAAAATGCCATATGCAGCTGCAGTCTGGCCTACAAACAAATATATTATACATAAAGTATAAGAGTATAACAGCTAATTACCCAGATAAATAATTGAATCATGATAGTTAAAAATCATATGATTGCAATAACAACTGCAATAATGAATGTTTTAACCTTAAAAGAAAATGTGAAATGTTTTTATTAAATCAGAAACTATTCTATATTCGTTTAAGTTTGCAGAGTGGTATAATAAATTAATATAAGTGAAATACTTCAACAGTTAAAATTTAACTGAAAGACAGGCAGAAACTTTACTTCAACTATCATAAAGTTTATTTATAATGATAAAAATATTCAGTCTGCCAGAGCCAAGGCCAGTCAATGGAAAGTAAAAGAGTATTATGGATTAACCCATCCAGGTGATATACATGATGAATTTAGAAATTAATAATTTAGGTCACCTATTGCAAACTGGTGAAATGAGTTCTAAGATATAAATTCAACATCCATACCATTCTATGTATATTAAAATAAACGTAATCAGATATTTTATCAGTTTTTCAAATACCAAGAAAATGTAATTTGGTTTGTAATGGTTAAAGGTACATAAACCACCTATACAAAGGTAGAGTTAAAATATAAATACCTTCAATATTGTATCGGAGTGCTTTCTTAACTCACTTTTAGAAATACTAAAAATTCTAATCATCTTAAGCTACATCCAACAGCCACTGAAAAATATACTTAAACAATTAAGATTCACATTGTTAAGCATCCAATCTCACGAATGTAACTTTCCACAATGGCTGTCAGATCTTGGTTAAAAAAAAAAAAAAAATGTTTTCTAAGACAATATTTGGGGGTTTCTGGTATTTTAAGCCACTAATAACTTTTTATTAACTAGGGAATAAGTTGTCTTCTCCCTAACAGGTCAAAGAAAGATAATTAATGTCATATTTCCAATTATCAACTATTCTAAATAGATTGAGAGATTTTGAATAAAGTAGTATTTTTAACATTTAAAGAGAATGTAATTTTACATTGTGAACAAAGGCGGTAAATACTTTGCTGCTTCAAATTATTCTTTATATCTAAATCATATACAAGGGTGTTTATCTTTAATACAAAACACTGGAAAGATTAACTATGTTACTATTTCATCTATCATTATTATACAAACTATAACAAATGTAAAGATTTTTCCACAGATTTTACCTGTTAACATTTTTAGCACAACAGCACCTGATGTCATTGAGATGTCTATCACTGAGATGTTACAAAGATTCCAATACAGCAAAAAGAGGCGTTCTTGAGAATCCACTTCGATTGCTGTATCAACATAACATTTACTATAATGGGATCCATGTCACTTAAGACAATGTCTTGGAAATTATGTCAACTAATTTATTCCGTAAAAGAATATCGGAGAGTATCCAATCTATACACATCATAAACGGTGTAAAAATGTTTCATGGAAAAAACAAAATAAAAAAAGACAAAGACAAATACCAACACCATCACCACGGTGAAAACAGATGATGCTGATTCAATATCTGCGACCAATTCTAGCCAAATACTTGGAAAGCTGGACTCTACAACCTATACTCTACAACAAATACCCGGGTATTCTACAAACACAACCTCCAGCAATGTATCTAAGGAATGTAAACTTCTACAGGCCTTTAAAGACTTTGGATTACAAATACAATTACTATTTTAACTTTGGATTACAATTCGTATCCGGATCTATCCAAGAATATCTTACTCTGGAACTTGGTGTTCTTTTCAATTCTTTCCCAGACAAATGTTTTGCTCATTTTAATCAACCACCTTTACAGGCAAAGATCATACTACGGATATTTTACTGTTACAACAATGATCAAAGATGCTGGGAGCACAAAAAAATTAAAAGACTGTTGGAGAACTTTGGTTTACTAATTTAAGGAAGAAATGGTCTACAATGCCCACAGTTTAATGGAGAGGGTGTTACGGGCAAATGCAAATATTACAAGTTTTAGAATGAAATGTTGTATTTCTTAAACTGTGTACTTTGTCTTTAAGAGATATTGCAAACTGACAAGGTGTAAGAAATGGAACATATTGTTTTTCATAACTGTTTCTTTAAGCAATAACCTCAGTGCATAATATGTTTGCGCCATTTTGTCCCAGACGAATTACAATAACAATAATGCATAAACAAGCTTCAAGGCTATACTACGACACTTGCAGTACACAATATACTGTGGTAACCCCAAGTTAATGGAACTTCCCCAAATCCGGGAATCTCCCACGACTGTACACTTACGACTTAGTATAAACAACAGATAACCTATTTAGACTTTAAGATGCCATCTTGAACTAAGTCAGGAAAATTTCCGTGACGTATACACCCTTTAGTTATGGCCTTGTATGTTTGCCAAGTTAAGGGAGGTCCTAAAATGAATAAAGTAAAAGAAGTGGTACTTTTTCACATATGAACTATGGTAACTCTAAAATGACGACACCTAAGGTATAAATAGGTGTACTTTTAAATGTTAAGAGACAGAGGAGAGACTTGGAGACAGACGCTGCTCCATCTTAAAATGACAGAGAGGCTGACATGATGACATGTTCAGAAGGGTATGTTAACCTATTAATGATATTTGCAAGCATGTAATTTAATCTTATAAACTCTGCTATAATGGATTTTATATTTTTATATAATAAATATCCAAAAGACAATCTTGCTTCCAAGACAATCCTTATTTTATATTGTATTCTCAATTATTTATATATGTTAAATAGAGGATCTCTTACACTATATAAAATTATAGCTAAGATATCTGTATGGTTAGCCCTACTAAGTTCTATGCTTTAAGACATTATAGTGGTAAATAAGGGAACCACCAGCGCTTACAGTAGTTATAATAAAAACTAAATAAAATAAAAAAAGTAAATAAAAGATAATGTTGCAAAAGAGTAAAATGACCAAAATCTATTTATTAACAGTAATTAAAAGCAGTATATGTATATATTATATATCTAATCATATTATATATATATATGTAACGTAATTTTATTTTATTTTAACGTCAGTGTATTTTAATACTAATATTAGTATATATATTAAAAATACACTTAGAATGACGTTACATATATATTATATGTATATATATTGTAACGGACCGTTTTGCACAAAAGGGAAAAAAAATGTTTAGGCGATCGGCCCCCTTTCCAGATATACAGGCACAGCTACTGCAGAACACCAAACTCCCGAACTGGATACAAAATAGCACTCCAACTCCCGAACTGGAACCTCCCAAATAGCTGCTAGCAGACGAACACACTCCCCTAGGGGACCAGATGGAAGACTGTAACAAAAGACAGACAAGTACCAATTACAGACATACAGAAGTAAAACATCCCCACAATGCATCCTGGCTTCCTCCCCTCTGCCCTGGAGAAGTAATTCAATTATCTCCCAGGACAAAGGCAAAACTCCATTACACATGTGGGGACACAAAGACAGACTTTAAAATACATAATGGGACAAATGGTACAGTAAATATATACATGTAACATATCCCCAGATAGCTCAGGTCTGAGCGCACATTACTAGGTGAATGGCACTCAGACCACATGAATGCAGTTTAATTGCCATGGAGCCAAAGTCTTTAATTCCACGAACAGGCTCCATGGCATAGCTATCTGGGTTAAAACATTCC